CCTCCTCCTCCCTTCCACTCTCCTTTCTTCCCCCACCCCACCCTTATGCTTCCAGTTTTCTCAGGAGATCTTTTCTGTTTCCCCTTCCTAGGGGCATCCATCTATATTTCTCTTAGGATTCTCCTTGTAACCTAGTTTCTCTGGGATTGTGGACTATAGGCTCGTTATCCTTTGCTTTACACCTAATATCCACTTATTGGTGAGTATATACCATCTCCCATCTTTCTGGGTCTGAGTTACCTTACTCAGGATGATTTTTTCTAGTTCCATTCATTTGCATGCAAATTTCAAGATGTTATTGATTTTTTTTGTTTTTGTTTGTTTGTTTACCACTGAGTAGTATTCCATTCTGTAAATTTACCACATTTTCTTTATCTGTTCTTCAGTTGAAGGGCATCTAGATTGTTTGCATCCTTACAGTATGATTGAGCATCCTAAGAGTGGTATTGGTAGGTCTTGAGGTAGGTTAATTCCCAATTTTCAGAGAAGTCACCATACTGATTTCCAGAGGGGTTGTGCAAGTTTGCATTCCCACCACTGACATGACAGAACATAGCTCTTAGCTCTCCATCCCCACTGGAGAAGACAACCTCTCAATGTGTTGGCTGCTTCCTCTGTGAACTAAGTTGATAAGGGCAGTTGCGGATGTGGTTTGAGCATGACGAAAGAGGCAGAGGAGAGAAAGTCGGAGTCATGAGACTTAGAGCAATTGTGAAAGGCCCTCACCACATGAAATACCAAGGTGCTGGCCAGTCTATTGCTCACACCATTGTTCCGGTAGAAGGTGAGGGACTGGTTCATTCCAGAAAGCCTGCAGACCCATGCCTCTGAAATCTTCTGAGCTGGCTCTGGCTGTATTGCCTTCAGCTGTACCAGGAAAGTTGACCTGGCTCCATAGGGAACCTTCTGCTCTCCTGAGTTCAAGGTCACAGCAGAGTCTCAGTGACTGGGTCTCACCCATTATCAAAACTTCTGTAAGGGTTTTGTATATGTATTTGTCTGTGTACTTTCCTCTTCAGGATAGAACTGTAAGAGATGCAAGTGGTGCTTAGCATCCCAAGGTGACTGGGTTCCAGAAGGCAAGGAATCTTCCAAATGGAACACAGGGAAGAGAAGACCCAGGGCTGAAAAAGACATCCTATGGCCTTGGATGTTAGTCCTGACTTGGCAGCTTAAATCCCTTTTCCCTCCAGAATCATCCACAGTATTCATGAAAATCATACCTGCCCCTTCTAGAGGGCACAGCATCAAATATACTCATGAAAACGGAGATGGCTTTTGAACTAAGATTCCGGTTCTCTGTGAACTGCGTCAGCATGTTCTAAGCATTCCAGGGGCTTGCTGGTTCTTAGGACACTCTTCTTTCTGCTGAGAGTAAAGTTTGCAAGTCATAGGTGACTTGGGCGGGAGAAGTCCAGAAACATGGAGCTGGTGGCCCCTCGGAGGCCCAGTGCAGTGGCCTGAGAACACTGGTACAGGGCAGCTCCCAGTCTGACTTCTTTGATGCTTACTTTAGGTTTCTGGAAGGGCTTTGCCGCCTTCTAAGTCTAGCACAGACTTGTGAATGATCTAGAAAAAAAATACAAAAGGTGAGAGAGAAAAGAAGAATGGGTCAAAATGTTGGCAGTTGAGGAGGATATGAGGAGCGCGGGTGCCAACACGCTTTTCTCTTTTGAGTGTGCTGCAGTTTTTCCATCATAAAGGTCTTTTTAAAACTCCCCCAAAGACACAGAATCTTCTCTGAATTCAAATGCCTTCAGAGTCTTTATTCTCCATTGTCATTGGTAAGCCACCCTCCATCTGTCTGGTAATGTGTCACTTCCGAGGGAAACCCCCTTCCTGTGGGATCTTTGATGTCCATGCTCTGTCCTGGTAACAGCGTCAACACCTGTGCTATTCTGAAACCTCGGGTTTTAGAAGCCCCTTTCTACCTCACATTCTCAGACTCCTTCAGCTGTCACACATAGACTAACAAACATCATTCGGGACACAGAAAATTCCAGTGTTTGCCTTGCTGGGGACTGTAAGAGGTTCCCATAGATCCCCCATGTGTGGAATCTTGCAGGAGCCCCCCCTTGCCGTTTAATGCAGAGGAGTTGGTGGTGAAAGGCTAATATCTCCACCCCCACGCATGCACCCCTCTTTCCTGCTGTCTCCCCGTCCCTCCTTCCGCTCCTTAATTTTCTGACAGGGTCTAGTGTAACCCAAGCTGCCCTTAAACTGAATTTATAGCTGAAACTGACCTCAAACAAACTTCTGATCCTCCTGTCTCTACCTCCTCTGTGATGAGAGCACAGACATGCATTACCGTACGGGTTTCCATGGTGCTGGCTATCAAACCCAGGGCTTCCGGCACGCCAGGCAAGCGCTCTGTGGTCTAGTCTACATCCCTAGGCCCAGACTCTCCCATTCCATCTTGTGACTTATACTGTCACACCTGGTGCCTCAGGCAGAGGTGGAGGGGCCCAAGACGGCGGCTTCGATTGGGCAAAGGACTCTTCGTATACCAAGGACAGTTCCTTGGGCACAGCCCACACTGGAGAGATGCTGAGCAGATCTGCTGGTAAGCAGCTGTCTCTGACTTCTGACTTTACGGCTCCTAAGTGACCTCTTGTTCCTGTTGGCCTGACTTCTCTGTCTCGATGAGCTGTGTTCTGTGAGCACATTAACCCTTTCCTTCCTTAAACTGCTTTTTAATGAGCATTTTGGCACAGCACTGAGAAAAATAACTAGACAGCTTCACTACAGGTCTCACCAGGTTTTACGTTCACTCCTTCCTTTATTTTTTTGTTTTGTTTATTTTGTCTCAGACAGTGATGGGAAAGGGGTTATAGCCCTGGCTTTCCTAGAACCCTTTGTGAACCAGGCTGGCCTTGAACTCAGAGATCTACCTGCCTCTACCTTCCGAGTGCCGGAACTATAAAGCCATACGATGCCACGCTAGTGTTTTGTTTTGTGTTTTCTTTTTTTGTGTGTGTGAAGAATATTTTTATTTCACTTTATTAAATAGGATTCACTTTTTTGAGGGACGCCATGAACAAATACCTATTCCCTCCAAACAGGACACCCACAACAGATCAAAGAAATGACTCTATTCAAGCCTTCATAACTGGGGTTACTTACTGGGTGAGAGATTATCTATAGGAACACAAACATCCACCTATGGCTTAATGGGTTTATGCATTTCAGGGAGAGGCTGGGCCTCTTAAGTCCTCCTTGTCCTCCACAAAGGAAGTTAGTGAGTCCGGTGTTTGGTGTCTCTTGGGACCACCGCTGTCCCAAATCTGGCAGCGAATTTATAAAACCAAGCTGGAAGCAATGGTCTAACTCTGCGCAGCCACATACTTCCTTAGATGAGAAAATGCTGAGAGCAATGAATGTAAACTCTAAGATTACAGAAACAACCTAAACGATGAGGTTCTGGTGCAGGGAATCACAGCTGCTCTGACATCAAGACTCAGAGAGAAGAATTTCGCAGCAGACTTTCAGCTTTTGGTCATGCTTTCAAACAAAAATACCCCCCTTAGACTTGGATAGCTCCGCTTTTCTTTGGCGCAAGAAAAGGACAAAAAGTGACTTTAGGGAGAGGGACGGATGATGTCAATAAACTGCAGTTCCCTATCGTCTCAAACTACTTACATGGAGATTATTGGAGGGGGTGAGGGTTTGGGGTTTTCTAGGGCCAAGCTAACAGCGCTCCACGAGTGCCATCTCGTGTTCTCAAATGGAACTGCATTAGAGGAAGGGCGCTTTTGTAGCTCAGGGTGCGTGGAACATTTCACTGTGAATTTCTCAATACCAGGTTAGGAAGTGCGGCAGTTCCCAATAACGAATGGTTAGCTGGGAACAAGAAAACCCCTGCAGGTCACAGGGCTGTGTCTGCCACAATTATCCTCCGCGTTAAAAAGAACTCTCTTGCTGGGGTTTGGGGGAGAAGGCACAGCCCTTGAATTACTCCGTTTAGTGAGGTAAACAGGAAACTGTATGAAAATTTTATCCAGCTCGTGCCACGTTAGCGAACAGCCAGGAACACCAAGCGAACTGGAGAGCCTCCAGGAGGGGATTACAGGGAACTGACGTTTCCGCATGGGTAGGAGTTCACCAGGCTGGAAGCGGGCGCAGATAAATGACACGTACGGATGAGGGAGGAAAGCAAACGGAAGCTGGGAAAAACCGCCCTGTTTCAACTGGAGCAGAGTGTAATCAACAAGCGCCGGAAGAGGGAAGGGTGGAAAAACGGACGTGGGCAGGTCGCGGAGCGCCCTTCAGTGGCACTCAGTTGAACCCCAGCCTGTGGACCGCAGGGCTTGAGGCAAGGCACTGTACTATAGAAAAGAATGGTCTAACCTCAGTCGGTTTGCCTGCGGCCTATTTCCAAACTCGTTTGGTTTCTTTGTTTGGTTGTTTTTAAATAAACTACCTCCTTTTCTATTGGAAATAAAAAGATGGAAGGAGAGGGAGACAGGGAGAGAGGATGGGAGCAAGGAGGAATGAAAAGAGGGAGGGAGAACGGGAAATGAAGGAGGAAAGAACCAGTGGTGTGAGAATGGGGAAACTCGGGGGTAACTAGGGAAAGACAGTGGCTCAGGAAAGAAACCCAAGAAAGGCATGCCAGATGCCAAGTCTACGCTGAGGATCCTGCAGAGGTTGAGATGTGTTTGGTGAACTAGGGCAGGAGCATGGGAGAGATTTTGGCTGGACACAGGGAGTCATGAAAGTATTTTATGGCCCTGAAGTCTTGGAAGAGTTTGAATTCAGCCCTTGAGGGTGGGTGGTAGTAGATGGGTGGCTAAATGACATTGGACAGTCCGGACCGATTTTGTCTTCAAGCTTCTAGAAGTGGACACCATAATACGATGAAGAAGGGGCCAAGGAGGTTGGACTAAAAGCCAAGTGCAGATGTAACCTATGCTTGTGGGAGTACTAAGACTTCCTGAAGAGACCCCCACTGGACTCTAAAGGGCCCCACATAACCACCATGCCTCTTCTTTCCTAGATGCACTTGCCTGTGGATGAGCCAGGGTAAGAAGAGCTCAGCTCCATGTCTGGCTCCACATCCCTGCAGCTCGCTGTCTTCCCTTGGTGGGACAAAACTCTCTGGGTGCCTGAGTAAGGAAGCTCAGTATTAGAGCCGACACATGGAACATCTCTAGGAACCAGTCAAGTAAGCAGGTGGTAATCATCAAAAGAATTCTGTCACGGTGTGGGATTTTCAGGCTGTGTTTTGGTCTGGGCACATCATCAGCTGAATGGCATTTATATAACCAAACTTCCATTCCTGTTTCCTTATAGAGTTTGAAAAATGTTTTCCTCACTGCTTATCATAAAAAATAAAATAAGAGTTGATGCTGAACCCTAGCAAGAAAACTTCCCCAGTGGACACATAGGTTGATGGAATACTATTAACTTTTAATATTCCACTTATCTCACACAGAGATGTATTTCCAATAAATATGCACTTTATAGTAAGATTTATAATAAGTATATGTATAGTATTTTGTATGCTGAGCATAACTTTGATGAGTCCAAAAGAAAACATGCTATACTCATTGTGTGTCTGTGTGCCCACAAGTGCAAGCGTAGGAACACCGCAGTGCACACACAGAGCTGAGAGTGTAAACTGTGGGAGTCATTTCTCTCCTTCCACCTTGAGAGTAGAATTCAGATCATTGGGTTTGCAATGCTTTTTTACACACACACACACACACACACACACCGCCAAAAAGAAAAACACATTAAACACTTAGTTTTTGTCATAGGAAATGCAGATGCCAGGTGTTTCAAGGATTTACTTGTGAGCTCAGGGTGTCAGACCACACCTGAGGGTGACTCAGAGCTGGAGGAAGAGGACAAGCGAAGCAGTGCTGTAGTTCTGAGAAGCCAGCTGCCTGTTTGACCCTGAGAGAAGCATCTTGACCCCGGAAGTGAAGTAGTTATCTGAATGCAGACAGTCTGCCTGCCTGCCACAGGTCGTTCCAACTTCCCCGCTCCACCCAACTGACCTCAGGACAGAGGTGAGACACAGTAGAGCAAATCAGTCCCAGGCTTAGGACAGGATCTGTGGAGTTCTGTCCCCCAATACTGACCGCCCCTCTCTCCTTATGTCTCCACATCATTGAGAGCAGGCTCCCTACCCCAAACATACCTCCCTCTTCTTCCTGGCTCTTCACTGGCCTGACTGTTGAGAGTGCCCCGGCGTTTCTGGCTTTTCCAGTTCCTCTTCCTGCCCCATCTCTCTTCTCCTTAGCCTTTTTATTTCTCTTTGTTCCCATTCATATCCATAATAGCAGATAGGCCCGTAGTTCCTCGGGGCCCCCAAATATACAACGCCAAGCCCAATCTGGAGCCAGGACTACCCATGCGGTCTCTATGGTAACCAACCTACCCTCTGCTGGGATGTTTCCTGGGCTGAATTTCACCCACAACATTGTGCTAACTGGGCAACTTTGTCGTTTTCAGGACTGGTAAGCATGGAAGATGTGAAGTTGGGCATTGTCCAGCCGCAGCTACGCTCAAGTGCACTTTTTGTCTGCTTGGTTTTTTGGTCTCTAGAAACTTCTCCTATAGCCCAGCCTAGCCTTGAACTAGGTTGAGAATGTCCTTGAACTCCCGATCTTCCTGCTCCCCTTGGGGTGGCATAACTGTAATGGTCTGTCCTGTAGCCCCGCCTACTCCCATCCATTTCCCCCTCCTACTCACCACCCACCCTTACTCCCAGTTTACTGAGGCAGGCAGATCTTCCTTCTGTTGGCAGTCTGAGCTCCTTCCTTTCCCTCTCTCCCGAAGAGGCAGCTTCTGCCTCTCTCCCTTCTCCCCACTTCTCCCCTTCCCCCATCTCTCTCTCTGCTCTTCTTCTTCTTTCTCTCCTTCCCCTCTTTCCCTTTCCCCTCCATAACCCACTAAATAAATATCCAACCTCACTCTGCATGGTGTGCCTATCTGTCTTGGTCTCTCACCCACCATGCAGCTCCCTGCCTGGGACTTGCTGCTCCTTGTGGCCCACACTGCCACCCCTCGGGAAACTGCACCCACCATGAGGCTCCCTGCCTAGGCTCCCTGCCTAGGACCAGTGGGCCATCAGGGCCACTGGGGGTGGGGGTTGCCTGGGGCCGGCTGCCTTCATGGCCTGCCATGGTTGCCATGGTCTCCTGACCCGCTGCCCACTGCAGCCACTCAGAGACCTGCAGCATTTTACTTAAACCATAATAGTCAGTGCAAGAGCGGTTTTGATCATTTAAATGGTTTTATTCCTTTGTAAATTTGTTATAAATTACTGTTCGTCCATCTGGTTTTGCAGTTGTCAAGTGTGCACTTTGCTGTGTTACCCCTGCCACTGGTACACAAAGATCCATGTCCTAGAAATGATGCATCTTCTTTTTTAATTTATTTATTATGTATACAACATTCCTTCCATGTATGCTTGCATGCCAGAAGAGGGCACCAGGTCTCATTATAGATGGCTGTGGGCCACCATGTGGTTGCTGGGAATCGAACTCAGGACCTCTGGAAGAGCAGTCAGTGCTCTTAACCACTGAGCCACCTCTCCAGCCCATGATGCATCCTCTTATGGGCTTTTTTGAGGCTGGGTCTCCTGTAGCCCAGGCTGGCCTCAAACTTGCTGCGTATTTGAGAATTACCTCCCATTGCCTCTACTTCCTGAGTTCTAGAATTACAGGAACATACCCCCTATTTTATGAGGTTCTGGGAATCAGACCTGGGGCTCCGAAAATGATGGAGGCTTCCTACCAACTGAGTTATAGTCTCAGTCAGCATGGTTATGTTTGGTTCGGTTTTCCCCCCTCTATATTTTACAAGCTTTTTGTCTTGTAATATTGTAAGGATGTGAGCCTTTTTTTTGGGGGGGGGGCATGGCTAACCAGTAATGTGTACCAGGCAGTCCCCCAAACCAGACTTCTTCAAGTATGTGCAGTATTTCTGTTTGACCCAAAGCAAAGGACTGAAAGAACAACACCTCTAACCTCAGACTTGTCTGCATCTTTCCAGCTGCCTGGTGTCCTCTGTGCCTGGGAGGGCTCCCTAAGCCCTGCAGACTGCCTGGTGTCCTCTGTGCCTGGGAGGGCTCCCTAAGCCCTGCAGACTGCCTGGCTCCAGGCCTACTTTTAGCACCATTACCAAGGCTAGGTCATGGCTGGCAAAGGCCCCAGCAATTATGGTCATTAGCGAGATGAGGCGATCTTACAGGTAAGGCAGGTTCCAGCTGCTTCAAAATATAGACACGTCAGACTGTTTACAGAGATTTCCTCTAGACCCGGGGATGAGTGTCAAACAAGATGACAAATGCCTCTGGCAAGCCAGGTGGCTTTTCTTCATCCCTCCTCCCACTCCACACCCTTGCTTCCTAACCCTTTACAACTAAGTTCTTGGACTGCCTGGCAATCTTGGAAAATCTCCTCCTACTCAGTAAGCAGAGGTAATGAAAACAAAGTTAGAAAAACTAACACCGCTCAAACCGGCTGCCAGGTGAGCTAATGTGGGAGCACGGAGCAGGAGGCGCCAGGAAGTTCTAGCATCATGACCATTTGTCCTTCAGAACATCCGGCCACAGTGCTCCCCTCCCCTGCACTCCGTTCCTAGGATCACGGTTCTCTGACTCCAGTCTGCAGGCTTTTCTCCACCCTAAGCTCCAGGACAAGGGACAGGCAAGGACTTCAGTAATATGGCTGCCTGACTCTTGGCCCATAGGTTACAGAGACCCTTTGTCTGGTTCTCTGCCCCGAAGAGAGGCTTGGATTTCTGGATAGAGCTAGTCTGACCTTCCCGTTCCTGTGTGTTTCATTGGTACAGCATTCCTGCTGTTTCTTAGAGGCTCTCCTTGGCAGGAGGTGATGTCCAGTGCTTATCTTCATTATGACTGAAGGTGAAACAGAAGTTGGGAACCAGTGAGTTGACCCGGTGGATAAAGTTGTTAGGTGACTGATGAGAGGTGAAAAAGGCCTGATGATCCTGGGAACCCAGATGATGGAAAGGGAGAATCTTCTGCGTGCATGCTCGCTCTCTCTCTCTCTCTCTCTCTCTCTCTCTCTCTCTCTCTCTCTCTCAACAAAATTGGGTCATTTACACTGTAGGTAACATCACCATGCCGCTGTATGCTGAGATATCATATTCTATCATATTTTATGTCTGACCACATTCTTTGCCAGTACATTCCATCTCTGCTCTGGAAGTCAGGATATCGGTGTGACATGAGTAGCTTAATCAGAAACATTGAGAAAGCCCTGTTATCGCATGTATGAGGATGTACGAAGTCTGTCCCTGTCATTCCACTCGTCCCAGAGGGCCACCACTCATCTGGAGCACCCCGTGGACACACACTTGGAAACAACCGCTCGGCTTTCACAGCCAGGTGTCCACTGAGCCTGTCTAATTGCAGCCTCTCTGTGCTTCTGACCTGAGTTATTACTCCCTACTCAATCATGTCCCAAGAAAACCAGAGGTGGTTGTTCCTGTAGCACAAAAGCCAGGCCTTCCTAATTTGATGCACTAATGCATTTTTGCATAACACTGAGCAAAAAATGACTCCCAAGTGGCTCAAAATGAAACTCAGTAGAGTATAACCCCCATGTAATAAAAAGAATATAATTTAAAACTATTAATTTTTAATTGACAATATTTGAAAGTTAAAAATCTCCCAGTTAAGATCAATTCTCTTAAAACGTATGGGTTACAATGGCCTTGGGGGTCTTGTTCACACATTACTAAAGGTGAGCTCCATTAAAAGCTCAACCACATTGTATCAACTCTTTGACTTACTAATACTTCCCATAGCTCATTGCTCTCATTTAGAACCCTTGAGGCTTGGGCCCAGCTAAAGTAATTTTTAACCTTAGATCTTTGAAGAGAACCTTTTAATGATACGCAATAAGTTTCTTCTAGTTTGTTATCATCAACAGTGTGTCTGACAGCTCCCTTTCTTAACACACTGAAGGATGACTGAGTTGAGAAGGTACACACTTTTCACATAGCTTCAAAGTTAACAGAGTCTAGCGCGTAGATCACTGGTATCTGCCTCATCTGCATGAGGTCCTGAGCCATGACACCCTCATAAAAAGATAAAAGGAAAGTTTTGTTTTCTCCTGTCATCTGAAATGTGCATTAACCCTCGTGTTTCTTTATAAAGTGAGGCTAGGGACTCGGCTCATTTCTTAGAGTGCTCACCTAGCAAGTCCTGAGTCAGATTTCCAACTTCATTTTTTGCTGCCTATCGCCGTGGAGACCAACCTGGGCTACGTGAGACCTGGTCTCAAAAATTAAAACTCTATAAAGAGTAGCCAGCAACTTAACATATCAAAAAGGAAGTACAAAATCTATCTGGCATCTTCTTGTTCCTCCCAGCTCTCAGTCTCAGACAGGGAGTAATGGGTTGAAAGGGCCCAAGTAGGTTTCCCAGAACTGAAAGACAAAACAAAGGTCAAGGGACCGAAAGGCCATTAAAGAGCTGGACATGGACCTGGAGGCAGGAGACACAGAGGTGCTCTGTCCAGGACTGCGGGAGGGTCCTAGCGAGTGTAGAAATGTTCTTATCCAGAATTATTCTTTGTTTCTGGAGAACAAATATCCACATTCTCAATTGTTATCTTACAAGGGTCTTGGGGTTCGTAGAAGAAGGAATGTGTTCACTTTACAAAAAGAAAACAGTCAGTTCGCAAATATATTATGAACTCTTAAAATTCAGGAACAATATAACCCCAACTTTATGACTAGGCGGAGGATTTAAATGTCATTTTAAATCTTATCATCAAATAAGCCAGTTAGCAAAGCTCACCGTCATGAACAGGTAAGGAAACATGGATTAAAAGCACACCCGGAGACTAACTCCCTGTGCCTTCCAGAGGGGCAGAACTTAAATCGCCTGGCACCAAGTGCACAGCAGGCAGAGCAACCGGAACTCTCACCTGAACTGGCAGAGAGTGGCATGCACGAGCATGGGACATAAAACTCCCCACGTCACCCACAGTTCCAGCACCGGCACGGCAGTCAGGGTGAATGCAGAGAGTGTCTCTAAGGAGGTGCACCCAGGTCTCATAGCAGGTTCATTCACAATCCCTCAAAGTTGAAAAGAACCCAAGTGTCTGGTCGGAGGGGAGTGGATAAACACCCCAAAACCACAAGTGGAACCCTAATCTGTGATGAAAGGGAGGAACTGTTAAGACAGGAGGCAGCACAGGAAACTATAAAACATTACACCGCATAAAAGAAGCCAGCCACAAACACAGTCCATAGCGCATAACCTGTTCATGTGAAATTCTTAAACAGGCAAAGCCAGTCTTGGAAGGGCAGAATAAAGGAATCAGTGGTTCCCAGTGCCGGTGTCTGGAGGGTGCTGCACAGGGTAGGAGGGGTGTGTTCAGGTGGTAGGAATATTCCTCATCTTCAATATGTTGACTGTGGTTACAGAACGAGTTTTGAACTGCAAAACCTCTTCTAACTGAAAACAACCAAAAACAAACAAACAAACCCATGTCAGATGGTGCATTTAAAATGGATATAAACTTTACCCCAATAAAATTATTTTTAAAAACAACCAGTCCCCTTTGTTTTGCAATAGAAAAACTAGTTATTTACTCTTTGAGGATGGGACAGTTTGGTACCAAGAAAGGAAGAGATGGGGTGCAGCAGTGATCGAGCATTTTCCTAGCATGGGACAAGGGCCCCCAAAACAAGAAGTGACCTTGAGGAGAGGTAGACATTTCCTTTAAAATTAGACTTCATAGCCGAGTGTTGGTGGTGCATGCCTTTAATCCCAGCACTCGGGAGGTAGAGGCAGGCAGATCTCTGTGAGTTCGAGGCCAACTGGTCTACAAGAGCTAGTTCCAGGACAGGCTCCAAAGCCACAGAGAAACCCTTTCTCGAAAAATCAAAAAGAAACGCTGTCTTGGAAAACAAACAAACAAACAAAAAATCACC